CACACACACACACACACACACACACACACACACACACACACACACACACACACACACATCTATCTCTCTCTCCTTCCGGGCACCATGCTCCCAGCTGATTTCCTCTGCCACATTTCTCTTCTGTGGTTTTCTGCCTCCTCCCAGGCCCTGAAAAATGGAGTTGACTACCTATGGGCTGAGACCTCTGAAACCATGAGTCCCCAGATAAGTTTTCCTCCTCCAACTGTTCTTGTCAAGTGAGTCTTTTGGTTACAGCAGTGAAGAAGCTGACTAAAACATTCCTCCAATAATAAAAACTTGTAAAATTATTGTATAATATCATAACCAGGATATTGAAATTGATAATCAAAATACAAACTTTCCATCATACAAATATCCCTCCCCACATTTCCCTTTGTTCCCTATCTTCTCTTTATTCTCTGGAAACCACTAATCTGTTCTCTAACTCTATAATTTTGTATTTCAAGAATTTTATATGAGTAGAATCATATAGTATGGAAACTTCAGGAACTGTTTTTTCTGTTTTTTTTCCTCATTTTAATCCTCTGGAGATTCATTCAGGATTCTGTGTATATCAATATTTTGCTCCTCTTCATTGCTGAGTAGTGGCCCATGTAATGAATGTATTATATAACCATTGGCCTGTTAAAGGACACAGGAATTTCATCTACATGAGGTTTATTGTGAATAAAGCTGTCATAAACTCAATATACAATAGCTAAGCTATAGAAACAACTTAGGTGCTCCTCAACAGGTGAATGGATTATAAAATTATGGTGTATATATACACACAATGGAATACTACTTATCCATAAAGAAGAATGGTTTTATGATGTTTGCAAGTAAATGTACAGACCTGGAGACTATCATGCTAATAAGCAAGTCCCCCAAAACCAAAGGAGGAATGTTTTCACTGATATGTAGAAGGTAACCACAATAAGAGGGGACAGAGGAAGAAAAGATATTCAGTAGATTAGAGAAAGAGAAATGGGGATAAGAAATGGAAATACAGTGGAATGAACCTGAAACAATTTTTCTTTATTCTTAAATGAATATACCATAGTGAATCCCGTCTTCATGTATAACCATAAGAATGAGGTCCTAACTAGAATAAGATATATTCCATGCTTGTACAATTTTATCAAAATGAATTCTACTGTCATCTGTAACTAAAAATAAACAGATAAATAAATAAAGCTGCTATAAACATTCATGTGCATATGCTTGTGTAAATTTTTCTTTTTTTTCTAGCATAGATACCCAGGAATGTCCATGCTGGAGTATATAGAAGTTGCATGTTTAGTTTTATTAAAAAAATAATAATCAATGCCAACTTGCTTCCCAGGTTAAATCTACCATTTATATCCCCAGCAGAATGTCTAGACTCTATGCACCCTTGCCAGCAATTGAAGCTGTCCTTTTGATATTAGTTAATCTGTTGCTGTTTTAGGCTTTCTAGTAGATAAACAGAGATTGTGGTTTTAATTGTAATTGCCCTAATTGTTAGTGAATTGAACATCTTTTCTTATGTCATCTATCTGTTCCTCAATGGAATGTCTCTTCGTTTATTTTGCTCATTTTCTAATCACATTTTTTTATTTTGTTGAGTTTTAAGAGGTCTCTATGTAGTCTAGATGCTATAGGATAGTTTGTTTGCAAATTTTTCTCCCACACAATAGCCTATCTTTGTATCCTCCTAACATGATATCTCATGGATAAAAAGGTTTTAATTTCAGTAAAGTCTAACATGCCAATATATTCTAACTTAGCAATGCCATGCAGTCTTAATTACTATAGCTATATAACAAGTCTTACAATTGGATACACAGATTCCTCCCAATTTTTTTATTCTAGTTCTTCCATATAAATTTTAAAATAATTCTGCCTATATCTTCAAATATCATCTGGGAATTTGATAGGAACCTCATTAAACTTATATGTTAATTAGGGGAAATTAGTATCTTTAATATATTACATCATCCAATCCATGGACATTATATTTAATTTCTTCCTCAATGTTTTGTAGTTTCAGCATACAAGTCCTGAATATGTTCCTCAGATTTATTACCAGGACACTTGCAATTATCTTCTGAAATACTTCCTATATTTCATTGATCTCTAGAGGCTACCTTACTATTTCAATGTGAATGTTGTAGCATATTCTTCCATTTCCTTTATTCCTGGGAATGCTTAGAACACATAACCATTTACCGCATAGATAGTAAAAGGAAAATGTGTATATTTAATAGAAGAAGCACTCCTTTGCATTTATTTCACATTTTCATAAAGTAATAACTGAGCATTCCAGCGTGATCTTAGAGTAGGAAGCTAGTTCACCTGATCCACAAAACTGGGTGCTAGGGCCTTTTCCAGAACCAATGAGACCGTTTCCTGTCTCCTGGGATCATCTCCTGTCTTCTGAACAATGGAAGCAGCTAGACACCTTTCAGTTCCCCCTTGGGCTAAAGATGAAGTAACATTTGTGCACTGCTTCACTGGACAACTCTGGAGACTGAACAGAAAAAGGGCCTGAAACAGTACCTGGTTTCATAGGACTCAGGGAGCGTTCATCCATACCACTGTCCTCCCCACCAGCAGAGATGCTCTCATTTGGGTGACTTGAGCTAGGAGGGTCTCATTTCCAAGGATCAAGTAGCACATCTTTTCCTTGGCTTTACAACTAAGACCTCCCGGAGCAGCAGAACCCTGAGGTCTCTCTATTAATATCAAGGGAAGGCAATCTAACTCCATTTTTCTCATGACTGTGTTTCTCTTCTTCTACCACATATGCCTCTCTTAGCCAGAGAATCCCTTCCTGGATCTATAAGAGTGGTTTGCCGGCCATTTATTTTTTTCTTTGGTCTCTGGCAATGACCTTATTATTTGGTTGTGGTGTGAACTGATAAATACAATTAATAAGAATGTAAATTATAGGTTATAAATTAGTAAAAAAAATATAGAGATTATATGTAAGATTTTGGTGAGATAAGACAATTATAAAACAAGAACTGTCATAGACAGGCCTAAGACTCCATTTTGCTGCCTTCTATAAAAAAAAACTGATATAAGAGCTATTTCTGAAAAACTCAAAGGAAAGCTGTTTTCTTATTTAAAAAAAAATTGTCTTTCTGTACTTTGTACCCCACATATTGTACCCTACTCAGAATGCAGTGGTGGCCATGGTGAGCTACATCCTGGGTTTGAATGCCCTTGTGGGTCTACATGACTTTGAAGAAGATTCTTCCCTGCCAACGGACCCCTGCCGAAATTCAGGGCGTGACTGTCTAGCACCTGCTTGAACCTAGGACTGTGGTCAACTGAATGCAAAGCTAATGGTTTTTTTTTTTGTTTTTTATTTTTTATTTTTTTCATTTTTTGCTTCTGTTTATCAATTGCTTGCTGACTGGAAAATTCCAGTCCTGCCTAGAGCCCACAGGTCCCACGTATTAATGTGTTAATATGATTGGCTAGCTTACAGAAGCAAGTCACTGAGATGTGGTTTTTGTGCTTATATTCTCTTTGGATGGACCAGGAAGCTGCTGTCCTCCCAGAGAGCTTGAGTCTCTGCAGTGGGTGACAGTCCCTGGCCAGGTAAATAAAGCTCTCTTTTGATTTGAATTCAGACTTAGAGTGCTTTCTGAGGCATGATTTTCTTGTGAAAATTTCAATGTGAAAGTATTTTAAAAAATGATAAAGCACTTCTGGTTGTACAGGATGTAGGATATTCTGCTGTCATGTATAACTAATTAGAACAAATTTTAAAAAATGATGAAACATTTCCAAATATAACCCATGACTGGACTCAGTTAACTTTGGTGGACCCTGTGTCTTCCAGGGTTACCTCTTAAAGTGGCTGCTTGGCTCATTCCCATTCTCTGACAAGGGCACTTATTGTGAGGGGACATCTCAAGTGACTTTGCCTCTAACATTTCAGAGTGATCTTAGAATGGGAAACTCATTCACCTGAGCCGCAAATCTGTAACCCTCTTTTTTGGGGGGAAGGGGCAAACGGGAAGGGAAACCAAGGGGTACTCAACCACTGAGCCCACATCCCCAGCCCTATTGTGTATTTTATTTAGAGATAGGGTCTCACTGAGTTGCTTAGCACCTCCTTTTGCTGAGGCTGGCTTTGAACTCACAGTCCTCCTGTCTCAGCCTCCAGAGATGCTGGGATGACAGGAGTGTGCCACCACACCTGGGTGACCTGCAAATCTGGATGCTGAAACCTTTTCTGGAACAGATGAGACCTAGAAATTTGTTCCTCTACTGGCTCCATGCCTTTCCCCTGGACCAAGCTGGCTGACTTGGGATTCTGTCTTACAGAAGCCTGAAACTTGAAAGAGGCATCAATACCATGTAATACCAGGTAAGTCATAGTCATGGCAGTGGCCTGAAAAAAAAGTTGACAAACTTCTTCTGCTGAGGTTGCCCAGCTCTGTTCTGATGAATTCGACACTCCAGGATGCTTTCTGTAACATCTCTTATTTTCCTTAAGCCAAACAGAGTTGATTTCTATTGATTACAACAACAAAACAATAACAAGACAAAACAAAACAAATCTAATCTCTTTTGCCTGGGAGATAAGAAATTCCCCAGTAGGGAATTTGCTAGGTATTAAATGAG